TTCTTCTTCTCCTTCTTCTTCTCTGACAGCACAACCCTTTACTTTTTTTTTGCACTTGCACTTTTTGTTGGTGAGAGCAGCGAGCACCTCTTCCTGTGGAGGACTGACGACTGAGCAACACATGAAGAAGAGTTTGTGACTCAGGCTGTGGATGGAGGGATGACAAACTGAAACTGAACGAGTGATTCATTCTTCATCGTCTGTCCTCTTCTTCTCTCAGATGTTCACATGGACGAAGGCCCCAGTCAGTGAGCCAGGCTAGCTGTTTCCATCTGTTTCCAGTCTTTATGCTAAGCTAAGCTAACGCTGACTGTGGAGCCTGCATCACAGCGGCAGACGTTTAGATCTCTGAACAGGAAGAGGAAACATGTGGAACTGTCCCTTTAGTGTTCACAGGTCCTGATAAACCATGAAGACGAGCTCACACCGAAGGTCCTGTTAAACCATGAAGACAAGCTCACACAAAAGGTCCCGATAAACCATGAAGACGAGCTCACACAAAAGGTCCTGTTAAACCAAGAAGACAAGCTCACACCGAAGGTCCCGATAAACCATGAAGACGAGCTCACACAAAAGGTCCTGTTAAACCAAGAAGACAAGCTCACACCGAAGGTCCCGATAAACCATGAAGACGAGCTCACACCGAAGGTCCCGATAAACCATGAAGACGAGCTCACACTGAACTCACCTGTAGAGAGAAACACTCAGACAGACGTGTGAGAACACCTGTAAATACTTCACCTGCATCGTCACTCACGCCTGTCCTGGTGATGTCAGCCATGTGACACACTTTATTTTGGCGGGACATGAGCTGATGTGATGCAGATCAGTTTCTGAGGACGTCTCGAGTCTTTAAGTGCCAAGATGGACGAATATAACCTCACCTTAACTCACCTGACTCCTCACGCTGCTGCAGGCCGCTCAGCGTACCATGTCAGTGTGAGGTGGAGGGGATGAAAGGACAGACAATCAGATGGACAGGAAGTCTTCTGCCTGCAGCAAGGACTCTTCTATTCCTGCTTCCTTCATTCATCCCTTTCCTCCATCCCTTCTTCCCTCCCCCTGTCCTCCCTTCCCTCCTTCCTTCTTTCTGTCATTCTTCCCTGTCCTCCCTTCCCTCCTTCCTTTCATACTTCTTCCCTGCCTTCCTTCCCTCTCTCCTTCCTTACATCCTCCATCCTTCCTTCTATATGTCTTCCCTTTCCTCCCTCTTTACCTTCTCTCCTCCGGTCCCTCCCTCCCTTCCTTTCATGCTTCCTCCCTTTCCTTGCCCCCCCCCCATCCTCCCTTCCTTCCTTCCTTCCTTCCTTCCTTGTGTCCTCTAACTACAAACTGAACTTGTTGCATGTCGTCTTTACTTTGTGTTTCGTCAGCACGACGGCACCTCCAGTTTCTACATGCAGTGTTGAATAATTACCCAGAATTCAAAGTGTTTTTGTTCAGATTCGACGTGTCGACAGTTTCATGAGACGATCTCGGACGTCACACCAAAGCTCCAACTCTGTGAGGAAAAAATATTGTGATGTTTTAAGAAAATTATGAACGATGTTAAAAGATGTGACGTTCAGAATTCTACAACTAAAATGTGAAAAAGTTTCATTTGTTGAGAATCAGAAAGGAAAAACTCCCGGTGATGACAATGTGACGGGAACATGGAAATATTGGGAATTTCTGGAGTTTGGAGAAACAAGTTTGAATTTAAGGAAATGCGGACAAAATTTTACAAAAGTCAAAGGAACGAACAAAAAAGTTAGAAATTTTATCGTTAAGTAAAAAAACAGTATCATGAGAATAAAGTTGTATTTTACGATTAAAGGCCACAACGGGTTTTAAACTGCGACAGGAAGTCCTGAGTCTCAGATTTGTTCTTGTCACAGCAGCTCTGATATAATCTGTCCTTCAGTGTTTCCTCTGCAGCGGCTCACATTTTAATTTTGGGGTAAAGTTGTAATTTTACAGAAACAAAGTGAAAAGTTACGACAGAGATTTTCTGAGAAAAGTCAGTATTTGGAGATTCAACTCAATTGACCTATGGCTAAGCCACGCCCCCTCCACTCACCTGGACAAACTATCAACATTCAGTGAGCGGCGCTATGGCAGGTGTCACAGTACACGGCATTTCACAGGAGGCAACTGATGATTTTTGGAGACATAACGATCAGATGTCATTGAGAAGTAACCAAAAGGGCCTAAACTACGCATTGGAGGGATATATTCATCATTTTATTGTTGAGAAGGTCGATGAAAAGCTTAAATTACAAGCCAAAATTTACAGGTCACAGTGTACGCTTGTGAACCGCATCTGGTTGCCGTCACCATCAAAGACAACAAGTTAAAGTGCCACTGAAGTTTAGGTTTTTGGCTCAGAATATGAGAAAAGGATAACGGCCTTTTTACCATCTTTACCAAGAGTGTCTCTCCGTTAGTTTGGTGCTACAGTATTTACACTGAATCATTCAGCATAACGTTTGCCAACCTTTGTTATCTCTGCCATTACAGATAAGTTAATGAAGCTAAGCTCCAGAAGTTAACGTTAGCTTAACTAGAGCCCTTTGGACAACAGCTAACAATGATGTACGATCACCAAAGTACAAAACTAGAACAAAATAGGCTAATGAACTCCCAGCAAACAAGGTGACATGATGAACAACGCAGCTAGGAGCTAACGTTAGGCTAACTTTAGCTAACGTTAGCTAGAGATGTTAAAGATAACTTTATATTTCTTTCCAGCAAAGTGACAATATGTTGCCTCAAACACAATGTTGACTTACCTTAGAACAGATGTAGACATCATTGTTAATCTTATTCACGTTGATGTTGTGGTCTAACGTTACCACACAACTTTATCCAAAGGAGACACTTTTCTCGGTTGAGATGTGGTTTAAAGTGTAAAAAATACACGTGGTCGCCCAGCCTCTCAGGATACCTTGTGTCAGAGTTGCATGTACCCCATGCACACCGTTTGACCATTTTTAAACTTCAAATCTCAGAAAAAGCTCATAAAACCCAACAAACTGACTTTCTGTAATGCATTTCAATGGACGTCCAGGCAGAGAATGTCCCAGTGTATGGGAATGGCTATACGCACTGTGATTGGCTCATCACGTTTGAGGGCGGGGCTTAGTCATAGGTCAATTATGTTAGAAATATGTTGTAAAATAATTAAAATAAAGTTGTAAAGTTAAAGTGGTTAAAACATTTCTGAAGGCGTCCTCAGCATAATGGGACTTTTTTAAAATATAAAATTCATCTCATAACATTCAGATCTGACTCTGACTCTGAAACTTGCGTCTTGATTTTACGATATTTTCACTTTGCTCATAACATTAAAACTCGTCCTTTAATATTGAGATTGTTTTCTCATAACACGTCTTTATTCTCATGATATTAACTCGACATTAATCGATAAATTTACGACTTTATTCCCAAAATGTTGACGAGTTTTTAATAACTTTATTTTCCGTCCTCTAATCGTCTTAATGAATCTGACGCAGGTGTCATTAATGAGTTCACCTGTCCTCTCTTGGTGCCACACGACCACAGGTTTTATAGTTTTTAATTGTTTAACAGTTGAATTCATGTTTTTATTTGAATTTTGTGACTTTTTTCTGTTTTGTTGATAAAAAGAAGATTCCAGGTGAAATAAAATCAGAGAGCCTCGTTAATGTAATGAAGTGATTATTTTATGATCTTTGTGGAGTTTCAGTCGCAGTTAAATATAAGTCACCTCTGACGTTCACTCATTCACCTCCAGTCCTCTCTCACTCTGTCACATTCACTGCTGCCTGTCAGCTCTGTGGGGCCGAGTGTTACTGATTGGTGCAGCTTCTTTTCAGATTTGTTTCACAGTAAAGACACGTACAAACCTGAGAACATGAAAAATTAAAGTTCAAATAGAGGGGGAAAAAACATGCAAAAATACATTTTAAAAAAACTGGTTGAATTCTTTAGGGAAACAAAAAAAAACTGATTTTCTTGGTGAATTTAGATTTTTTTTTTTAAAAATATGAAACTTCTCTGAAATGATTAAAGATCAATGATGTATTAATGTTTTATTATGTTTCTGTGGTAACTCAAAGTTACGACCGGCTCGCTCTCGCACATTAAAACTTTATTTCATCCTATTGTTCATTTTTTTCTCTTTGAATTCTGACTTCATGTTGTGACTTTTGCTGAAAATCACATTGTGATTGAACTTAAAAAACATTGAGGTAACCAGACTCCATTTTGAAATCTGCTAACTTTGTGTTCTCCAGGTTTTGAGCAAAGAACTTGTGTCTGAGAACGGTTAAGAGGTGACGGGTGTTTAAGTCTGATGAAGAGTTGTTGTAGCTCTTCTTCTGTTTTGTGCGTTAGAGGTGACAAAGCATTTTGAACTGCAACAGGAAGTCCCTCCCCTCCACTTCCTGTTGGCCTTACGAACAGTTTGCTGTAAATTGTGTTGAGTCATAAACTGTAAAAAGTTATTAACAAACAGAAACATGTTACTGATGATTGAGTGAGGACAGACTGTAGCGCTAACTGTAGTGACCATCGTAGCTGTAGATTCAAACTGGGACTGATGGTTTGTTTTGATCCCAGTTTAACAGCATGCTCTCGCTAACTGGTGTTACTGGTCTCTGTAATTTAACTGCAGCTGTCTGAAATAAACTCTGGATCGTTTTCTGATTCTCTCCAGTTTCCTCTCGTCTCAAGTTTCAAAAATCTGACGACTGAACTGCGTGTTTTTGTTTGTTGTTTACTGATGATGTTTACCTTTTTGTTTGTTTATTGTTTAGTCTTTGATCTTTTAGATATCATTTGGAGCAAAAATAGTCTGACACTTTAACCAGAAAACAGCAGCATGAATTAATTTCTAATGAACAGAAGTCCGTTCACTCATGGAGCACAGCTCAGATCATCAGATACTGAAGGTCTCGACAGCCAGATGACAGATAAAGATTTAAACACAAAATGCTGATGACGATGATGATGATGATTACGATGATGATGATGATGATGATGATTACGATGATGATGATGATGATGATGATGATAGAAAGAATCAATGAAGGTAAGAAAATAAAGTGGTGTAGAAACCAGTCGTGTCTTCATGATGACTTCTTTTTTTTTTTTTTAAATATTAATATCGTGAGGAGCAACAGTGAACAATGACAAAATAATAAGGAAACAATGACTAATAATAATAATAATAATAATAATAAAACCACTTTTTAAAGTATTATTTTAAAAACACAAAACAGGACAACAAAATGGATCATCAGTTCACAGTTGATTTTTTTTTTTCAAAATGATGTTTTCTTACATTGATAAACGTTCTCTAAAGAAGTTAACCAACAATAGTCCATACTTTATATTCATTTTTATTTGTATTTAGTGTTTTGTTTTAGTTTAAGTGTTTTGTATTTTTTTTTTAAATATTTTGTATCATGTTTTAATAGTATTTAGTATTTATATTGGTATAATTTATTTAGTTTTATTAGTGTTTTATATTAGTTTTTATCGTTTTATTTATATATGTATTTTTTTATTACTATTTTGTATCATTTGTCTTTTTTATTGTTTTTATTAGTATTTTGTTTTAGTTTTTTAAGTATTGTGTATTTTTTTATATTTTGTATCATGTTTTAATAGTATTTAGTATTTATATATTTAGTTTTATTAGTATTTTATAGTCGTTTTTATTTTTTATTTACTCGTACTCCCCAAAACACTTCCCAAGGGAGGCGTCCGGGAGGCATCCTTACCAGATGCCCGAACCACCTCAACTGGCTCCTCTCGATGTGGAGGAGCAGCGGCTCTACTCCGAGTCCCTCCCTGATTCTGAGCTCCTCACCCTATCTTTAAGGCTGAGCCCAGCCACCCTGCGGAGGAAACTCATTTCGGCCGCTTGTACTCGCGATTTCATTCTTTCCTTCACTACCCAGAGCTCGTGACCATAGGTGAGGGTTGGAACGTAGATCGACTGGTAAATTGAGAGCTTCACTTTCTGGCTCAGCTCCCTTTTCACCACAACAGACCGGTTAAGCGTCCGCATCACTGCTGACGCCGCCCCAATTCGCCTGTCAATCTCCCGCTCCATCCTACCCTCACTCGTGAACAAGATCCCGAGATACTTAAACTCCTCCACCTGAGGAAGGACCTCCCCCCCGACCTGGAGTGGGCAATCCACCCTTTAACGGTTGAGGACCATGGCCTCAGACTTGGAGGTGCTGATTCTCATCCCAGCCGCTTCACACTCGGCTGCGAACCGCCCCAGCAAGAGCTGGAGGTCACTGTTTGATGGAGCTAGGAGGACCACGTCATCCACAAAAAGCAGGGACGAGATCCTCCCGTCACCGAACCTGACACCCTCCACCACTCGGCTGTGCCTAGAAATTCTGTCCATGAAAGTTATGAACAGAACCGGTGACAAAGGGCAGCCCTGGCGGAGTCCAACCCTCACCGGGAACAGGTCCGACTTACTATCAGCCACGCGAACCTGACTCGCGCTCCTTTGGTACAGGGACTGGATGGCCCTTAGCAAGGGGCCACCAACCCCATACTCCCGGAGCACCCCCCACAGGATGCCCCTGGGGACACGGTCGTAAGCCTTCTCCAAATCCACAAAACACATGTGGACTGGTTGGTCAAACTCCCATGCCCCCTCCAGCACCCTGGCGAGGGTAAAGAGCTGGTCCACGGTTCTGCGTCCGGGACAAAAACCACATTGCTCCTCCTCAATCTGAGGTTCAACTATCGACCGGACCCTCTTCTCCAGCACCCTGGAGTAGACCTTACCGGGTAGGCTGAGGAGTGTGATCCCCCTGTAGTTGGAACACACCCTCTGGTCCCCTTTCTTGAAAATGGGGACCACCACCCCGGTCTGCCACTCCAGAGGCACTGCCCCCGATGTCCACGCAATGTTGCAGAGGCGTGTCAGCCAGGACAGCCCTACAACATCCAGAGCCTTGAGATATCCAGGACGAATCTCATCCACCCCCGGGGCTCCGCCGCCTCGGAGTTGTTTCACTACCTCAGCAACTTCTGCCCCAGAAATTGGACGACCCGCCCCCGAGACCCCCGTCTCTGTTTCCTCACTGGAATACGTGTTGGTGGGATTGAGGAGCTCCTCAAAGTATTCCTTCCACCGCCCGACAATGTCCCCAGTTGACGTCAGCAGCTCCCCGCCCCCACTGTAAACAGTGTGAGCAAGTTGCCGCCTTCCCCCCCTGAGGCGCCGGACGGTTTGCCAGAACCTCTTTGGAGCCGATCGATAGTCTTCCTCCATGGCCTCACCGAACTCCTCCCACGCCCGAGTTTTTGCCTCCACGACTGCCGCCGCTGCGCTCCGCTTGGCCCGCCGGTACCCGTCAGCTGCTTCCGGAGACCCACAGACCAACCATGCCCTGTAGGCCTCCTTCTTCAGCCTGACGGCTCCCCTCACCTCTGGTGTCCACCAGCGGGTTCGGGGATTACCGCCGCGACTGGCCCCAGCGGCCTTGCGGCCACAGCTCGCAACTGCCGCCTCGACAATGGCAGAGCGGAACAAGGCCCATTCGGACTCAATGTCCCCCTCTGCCCTCGGGACGCGGTCGAAGCTCTCCCGGAGGTGGGAGTTGAAGATCATCTGGACAGGTTCTTCCGCCAGGCGTTCCCAGCAGACCCTCACTGTTCGTTTGGGCCTGCCAGGTCTGCGCGGCGTCTTCCCCCACCATCTGATCCAACTCACCACCAGGTGGGGATCAGTTGACAGCTCTGCTCCTCTCTTCACCCGAGTGTCCAGAACATATGGCCGCAGGTCAGATGATACAACAACAAAGTCGATCATTGACCTGCGACCTAGGCTGTCCTGGTGCCACGTGCACCGATGGACATCCTTATGTTTGAACATGGTGTTAGTTATGGCCAAACTGCGACCCGCACAGAAGTCCAATAACTGAACACCACTCGGGTTCAGATCGGGCAGGCTGTTCCTCCCAATCATGCCCCTCCAGGTCCCGTTGTCCCACGTGAGCGTTGAAGTCCCCCAGCAGAACAATGGAGTCCCCGGTCAGGGCACTGTCCAGCACCCGTCCCACGGACTCCAAAAAGGGCGGGTACTCTGAACTGTTGTTCGGTGCATAAGCACAGACAACAGTCAGGACCCATTCCCCGACCCAAAGGCGCAGGGAAGCAACCCCAACGTACAGGCAGAGAGTCTGGGGGCTATCAGAAAGCCCACCCCGGCCCTCCGCTTCTCACCCGGAGCAACTCCAGCGAAGGAGAGAGTCCAACCCCTCTCAAGGACTTGGGTTCCAGAGCCGGAACTATGTGTCGAGGTGAGGCCGACTATATCTAGCCGGTAGCGCTCAACCTCTTCCACAAGCTCCGGCTCCTTCCCCGCCAGAGAGGTGACATTCCATGTTCCAAGAGCCAACTTCTGTAACTGAGGATCGGACCGCCAAGGCCCCCGCCTTGGTCTGCTGCCCAATCCACATTGCACCGAACCCTTCTGGATCCCTCTGCGGGTGGTGGGCCTGCAGGGGGACAAGCCCATGTAGCCGGTTCGGGCTGGACCCGGCCGGACCCCATGGGCGAAGGCCCAACCACCAGGCGCTCGCCCACGGGCCCCAACCCCAGGCCTGGCTCCAGGGCGGGGCCCCGGTAACCCTCCAGGCCGGGTACACGTGTCCTTGTTTGTATCCATCATGAAGGGTCTTTTGAACCGTTCTTCGTCTGACCCTTCGCCCAGAACCAATCTGCCATGGGAAACCCTACCAGGGGCAAAATGCCCCCGACAGCATAGCTTCTAGGGTCATTAGGGCATTCAAACTCCTCCACCACAATAAGGTGACGGTTCTCGGAGGAGATTTTTTTATAATAATAATTTTTTATTTATATATATCTATTATTTTGTATTTTTATTACTATTTTGTATCATTTGTCTTTTATTAGTAATTTTGTCAGTTTTTGTTAATATTTTTTATCTGTGTTTTGTATCTTTTTTGTTTTTTATTGTTTTTTTATTAGTATTTTACTGAGTTTAAGTATTTTTTGTATTTTTAATCAGTATTTTGTATTTTGGGGAGAATATTTTTGTAATAATTTTTCTTAAGTATTTTGTGTATTATTAAGTATTATGAACTTTCCATGATTTGTGCCTTAACTGTCAGTGAACGCTAGGGGGCAGGCTTTTATCATTTCCGGGTTCAGAGGTCAGGTATCCGGAAGCACATGAAGGAAAACACTGGTGTCCACCACATGTGGAAACATGAGCAGTAGATGAATTAAATAAGTTTAACTTTATGTCTCGTGTTTCTGCTGACGGTGTGAATCTGTAGTTTTCTGACAGGACCTTTGGTTTAGTTTGAAGAACAAACATGGCGGACATGGACGTCATCAAGCTGCCGGAGACGGAGCCGAGAGAACCGGCCAAGAAGAAGAGGACTCGACCACCGAAGGTTGACCCCGAGGAAGAGGAGCAGAAGCGGCAGAAGAACGTGAAGAGGCTGGCGGTGCTGGGGGAGAAGGACAGCTCGGTGAAGCTGCTGGAGGAGCTGGTGTTCGGGGCGGAGGACGAGCTGGTGGAGAGACTGGTAGAGGTAACGTGTCACCAGACCCCGGTCAGAAACCTGATGATTTAACGTTCTCCTAGTGCTGGGCTAAAATAACCGTGTCTGAGAGCAACGTGTGATAGCTGCTAATGAGGTTCAGATGTTTCTGAAGAATTCGGCTCATTAATTGTTTGCCTGCATCACTTCACTTCACTGAGATGTCAACAACATGTTGTCTTGTGCTGCTCTCAACCAGACTTCATTCAAAAAACTGCTCATTTTACCGTCTTTTGTTAATGAGCTTCATCCTTGTGCCTCACAAAATATGATGAATATAATGATTGTCATTTTGTTTATGGTAAATCTGGCTCACTGGTTATTATCAGCTAACAAACCTCACTGTGACACAACCTGTCACTCCAGGCTAATTAAAACTAATATAAATGACTAATAGAAACTGATACATTTATAAAAACCACTAATAAAAAGACAGACTACCCATCATGCCTCATGTCTCCATGCAGGAGGACGAGGAGCAGACTGAAACCTTATTGGTGGAGGACAAAGACGATGAGTCCGGTGAATCGGAGGACGAGGACGAGGCTCGTACACAGCTCCAGCCGGCCAGAAAAGCTGCCTGGGTGGACGAGGATGACGAGCTGGATGAAGAGTAAGTGCTGCTGAGTGTCGTCTTGTGTTGTCACCAGTCGGCGAGTCATCAGGCTGTTGGTGTCAGGCTCACACAGCTGAGTGTGTTTGTGACTACACGTTTACGAATGTGTGAGGATCAACATGTTCCTGTCATGACACTGTATTGATGATGATGATGATGATGATGGTCTCTCAGGGGTTTATTGTGTTGAATGGTTCAGGGTGGACATGAAGCATCGTTACCGCAGTGACCTGATCAGAGGAGAGGCTGAGTCCACCATGTCCAAACAGAAACTGCAGCAGAGGATGAGAGAGCAGTGAGTACACACACACACACACACACACACACACACAGCTGTACACATATTTACCTGCTGGTGTGTTTCAGGTTTCAGAAGTCAATGGGAGGAACGCCGTCATGGGCAGAGAGCGGCGTGAAGAAGACGAAGAGAGGTAGAAACACAGTAACACTTCCTCTTCCTCCAGAACCTGCTCATTAAATGTAGTTTTCTTTCAGCACACTACACTTGCTCGCTGTCAGACTTCATTCTTAAAGCAGCTGACTTTCATGTTGTCATGGTTACGGGCGATGCTCTTGTGTCTGGGAACAGAATATTAACGCTTTAAAGAAACGACAGTGAGAAGGAAACGTTTCTTTCTTTCTGTCTTTTTTAATATTTGTAGAAAAATAAATGAATTGTTGGTAAAAACAAAACGTGTCTTTCTGTGTTCCTGCAGCTGATGATGATGATGAGGAGGAGGAGGAAGAGGAAGACGAAGATGATGAGCTGCTGAGGAGGACTGGAAACTTTGTGGCGTCATCAGACAGTCTGCCCAGAGGCATCCTGAGGGTCAGAAACATCAGAGTCTTCATTAATGTCGTGATAAATAACATTTCATTTCTTGAGTGACAGCGAGCTGCTGATGTTGTTTACAGAGCAGCTGAATGTTTGTTTACCTCAGTCAGATTTGTTGTTGTCCTTGTTTGTAGCTGTTATTTGTTTTTATTCAGTCACTGAGAACAAAAACATTTTGTTTCTTTTTGTGAAATATATTCTGATTTAGATTTTTAAATCCTGATTTGTCATCTGTATATTCCTGCGCTGGTCACATGATCACATGTGACCACGTGACCATGTGACCGTCCTGTTGTATCAGTCATTTGTTTACATTTAATCCTTCTCGTCTCAGATGAAGAAATGTCTTCATGCTAACAGTGCCCGTCCTTCAGAGGACAGACTGACCACCGTCCAGTTCCACCCCTCTGCTCAGGTTGTCATGACAGCTGGCCTCGACCAATCAGTGTCCCTCTTCCAGGTACAGACAGCCAATCAGCTCTCTCTAACGTCAGACAGGAAAGGGGACACGGAGTCAGGTGGGCATTGTTGATGTCTGTCTTTGGTCCTGCAGGTGGATGGAAAGACGAACCCAAAGATCCAGAGCATCCACCTGGAGAGGTTCCCCATCCACAAAGCTCAGTTCAGCCAGGACGGACAGACGGTGATCGCCACCAGCCTGAAGAACAAGATGTTTTACCTGTACGACATGATGGAGGGCCGGATCACACCTGTCCACACTGTCAGAGGTGAGGTTACTGTCAGAGGTGAGGTCAGTGTCAGAAGTGAGGTTACTGTCAGAGGTGAGGTCACTGTCAGAGGTGAGGTCAGTGTCAGAGGTGAGATCACTGTCAGAGGTGAGGTTACTGTCAGACGTGAGGTCACTGTCAGATGTGAGATCACTGTCAGAGGTGAGGTTACTGTCAGACGTGAGGTCACTGTCAGAGGTGAGGTCACTGTCAGAGGTGAGGTCACTGTCAGAGGTGAGGTCACTGTCAGAGGTGAGGTCACTGTCAGAGGTGAGGTTACTGTCAAAGGTGAGGTCAGTGTCAGAGGTGAGGTCAGTGTCAGAGGTGAGGTTACTGTCAGAGGAGGTTACTGTCAGAGGTGAGGTTACTGTCAGAGGTGAGGTCAGTGTCAGAGGTAAGGTCAGTGTCAGGTGGGGTCACTGTCAGAGGAGGTCACTGTCAGAGGTGAGGTCACTGTCAGAGGTGAGGTTACTGTCAAAGGTGAGGTCAGTGTCAGAGGTAAGGTCAGTGTCAGAGGTGAGGTTACTGTCAGAGGAGGTTACTGTCAGAGGTGAGGTTACTGTCAGAGGTGAGGTCAGTGTCAGAGGTAAGGTCAGTGTCAGGTGGGGTCACTGTCAGAGGAGGTCACTGTCAGAGGTGAGGTCACTGTCAGAGGTGAGGTTACTATCAGAGGTGAGGTCACTGTCAAAGGTGAGGTCAGTGTGAGAGGTAAGGTCAGTGTTAGAGGTGAGGTTACTGTCAGAGGAGGTTACTGTCAGAGGTGAGGTTACTGTCAGAGGTGAAGTCAGTGTCAGAGGTGAGGTTACTGTCAGAGGAGGTCACTGTCAGAGGTGAGGTTACTGTGAAGTCAGTGTCAGAGGTGAGGTTACTGTCAGAGGAGGTCACTGTCAGAGGTGAGGTCACTGTCAGAGGTGAGGTTACTGTCAAAGGTGAGGTCAGTGTCAGAGGTAAGGTCAGTGTCAGAGGTGAGGTTACTGTCAGAGGAGGTTACTGTCAGAGGTGAGGTTACTGTCAGAGGTGAGGTCAGTGTCAGAGGTAAGGTCAGTGTGAGGTGGGGTCACTGTCAGAGGAGGTCACTGTCAGAGGTGAGGTCACTGTCAGAGGTGAGGTCACTGTCAGAGGTGAGGTCACTGTCAGAGGAGGTCACTGTCAGAGGTGAGGTTACTATCAGAGGTGAGGTCACTGTCAGAGGTGAGGTCACTGTCAGAGGAGGTCACTGTCAGAGGTGAGGTTACTATCAGAGGTGAGGTCACTGTCAGAGGTGAGGTCAGTGTGAGAGGTGAGGTAACTGTGAGAGGTGAGGTCAGTGTCAGAGGTGAGGTCAGTGTGAGATGTGAGGTTACTGTGAGAGGTGAGGTCAGTGTCAGAGGTCAAGTTAAGGTCAACGTGTCGACTGTGTTTGTGTTCAGGTCTGAATGAAGCCAGAGTGAAGGAGTTCTCTGTGTGTCCTGAAGGAGGCGCTCTGCTCCTCACTGGGACCAACGGATACCTGCACCTCCTCACGCTCCAGGTGATTCCTCCTCCTTCTCTTTTGACAGTTTTTCCTCTGTGATGATGTCACAGCCTCGTCTTCTCTCTGACCTGATGATGAGTCACGTTAAAAACACTCAGAATCTGAGTGATTTAGTAAAAGTAAATAAATACAATTAGAATCAAGTCAAATCTAAAATAGAAAATAACATACCTACAATAAAATGAATTAAAAAAAATACAAATAAAAATAAATAAATAAAATTAAAAGATATAAAATTTAAAACAAGATAAAAATAAAGCCTGATTCCCTCTGCAGTTCATCTTTTAAATTCTCTTTCAATAAATTTTATATTGTATAGTCAGTTAACTTTTTTATTATTTTCAGATTATTCCACTGAACTCTTCTGCATATTTTTTTATTTTTGATTTTTTTATTTATTCTTCTTCTGTTACTGTGTATTCTCATGTGTGTTCACAGCAAAGAAAGTACACGTGAATAAAAAAGCATTTTGTGTTTCCAGACAGAAACATTCCCGTCAGTGTGGAAACAATATGATCATATGATTATTTAACATTTAATTAAATAGATATTTAAAAAAAATACTAATAACGTGTGTGTGTGTGTGTGTGTGTGTGTGTGTCAGACGAAGGAGGTGGTTCGCAGTATGAAGATAAACGGTGATGTCAGCGGCGTCGCTTTCTCTCACGACGGCAGCAAAGTGTTCGCCCAGTCAGGTGAGTTCAGAGCAGTGGCGGCTGCTGGTCTCTCAAACAGTGGAGGCTCACTTTAAGTTGTTGTCTCAGAGCAGTCGCCCCTGGTTCAGGGAGTGTGTGACATCACACATGGACATCCTGTCAGTCATGTGATTAAACTGTGTGTGTGTGTGTGTGTGTGTGTGTGTGCGTGCAGCGGACGGGGAGGTGTATGTGTGGGACATGCGCAGCAGTCGGTGTGTTAACAGGTTCACAGATGAAGGCTGTGTGAAGGGGACGTCCATCGCTGCCTCGCGGAACGGACAGTACCTGGCCTGCGGGTAAGACACGCCCACATATAATCTTGTCCCCCTCCTTTAGGGTCAGAGCGACTCTGACGGACAGAGACGGTTCAGACTTTACATGTCTGTCATGAAGTGTTTTATTTCTTTCAGGTCAGTCTGAAACATTTTAATAAATCTGTGTGAACTGAACGCAGCCTGATTTTAAAACACAGCCTGATTTTAAAACACAGCCTGATTTTCAGAGGATTTATTATTCAATTTTCAATTCAATTTTATTTATAAAGCCCAATATCACAAATCACAATTTGCCTCACAGGGCTTTACAGCATACGACATCCCTCTGTCCTTATGACCCTCACAGCTGATCAGGAAAAACTCCCCAAAAAAAAAACCCCTTTAACGGGGAAAAAAAAAAAAAAAAAAAAAATTATTATTATTGTTGGTGTATCTGATGTGTAGTAACATTGATCGTCTCTGTCGCAGCTCTCAGTCGGGCGTGGTTAACGTGTACTCCCAGGAGGCGTGTCTAAAGTCAGCCAATCCCAAACCTCTGAAGGCTGTGATGAACCTGCTGACCTCAGCCACCTCTTTGACCTTTAACCCCTCATCTGAGATCCTGGCCATCGCCTCCCGAGTCGAGGACGAGGCCACACGACTGGTAAGACAGTGGTGATGATGACGATGATGATGATGATGATGATGATGACAGCTGGACATTAACCCGTGTCTGTCCCCTGGTTGTGTCCCCTCAGGTCCACCTGCCCAGCCTCACTGTCTTCTCCAACTTCCCCGTCTCTAAGAGGAAGTTCGTTTATCGCGCCAGCTGCCTCGACTTCTCCCCTCACAGCGGCTTCTTCTCATTGGCTAACAACAAAGGACACGCCCCTCTCTTCAGGTCAGACAGCCAATCAGCTCCTCCTTTTGTTTGTCTTTACATCAAGTCATTTTTGTCTCAGGTCCTGTTTCTGTTTTGAGTTGTTTTTATTTCTTCTTCTTTGTCTCGTCATCATTATTATTATTATTATTATTATTATTACTATTATTATTATCATCATTATGACAGTCAGTGATGAGAGGCCTTCAGTCCCTTCAGTGCTGCATGAAACATGACATAGAACGTCTGTCTGTGTTCAGGTTGCTTCATTACAAAGACTTCTGAGGAAGAACTCGAGGCTGAAACATCTCGAGTCTCTGCGGCTCAGCTCCGACCTGCTCAAAGGACCAAATCAAGTTTCACAGCTGATTCCTGTCAGATCATTTTCTAAATCATCACATCACATCTCTGAGGTTTCATCCTTTAACACAGCAGCAGGGAAACATTTCAAACTCCAGACATAAAGTTTTAAATCTGGAAGGTGAGTTTAGTGGAAATGAAGAGAAGTCAACAGTCAGTCTAAGAACTGACGGATGATTTGGGAAAAGAGACAGAGGGTTGACAGGATATTTAGTTCTTGGGGCTGAAACATGAAAACTTCCTGTGGAGTGACGGGACTGAGAGGTTGTTCGTAGGAAAGAGTGGAGACATGTTTGTTTTTTATTCTCTGTATGATGTGATTGTATAAAAGAACTGAAACACTTCAACATGTGTGTCTGTGTTTTTTACTCACAACCGAAAATACTGAGAATGAAAACAGGAAACACCTGAAAACTCATCTTTTAGATCAGCCTTTAATGTTTCCTGTTTATTCCTTTATCTGTATCAAAGTGTCCTTTGGTGAGATGAAAGATTCTTATCAATAAAATGTGTTATGCTTCATCTAAAGACAAAAAAAATCTCCACCTTTAACAGTGTGAAGTCTGATTTATGTGTTGTATCTTGTTAGCAAACAGGCTAATCACCACAGGTCTCAATTATAAAACTGTGTGGAAGCTAAATTGAAGCTAATTGTTAAAGGTCCCACAGTGTCAAAGTCAGATCTCCACGTCTTTTTATTATAAATCAGGTACAGGTGAGACATGAACACATAGAAAGTATTAAAACCTTCAGTCCACAGAAAAACATGCTTCTGTCAGCTCTCTGATTTATTTTAGTTTAGGATTTTTTTGCTGATATCTGATATGGTGATAATTATTGACTTTTCATCAATAAAAGCCTTAAAGTTGTGAATCTGTCTGATGAAAATGTTAAACTAATTTCCAGGGCGTCGGTGGCTTAGTGGATAGAGCAGGCGCCCCATGTGCAAGGCTGTTGCCGCAGCGGCCCGGGTTTGACTCCAGCCTGTGGCCCTTTGCTGCATGTCACTCCCTCTGTCTCTCCCCCTTTCACACCTGTCTGTCCTATCAATTAAAGGCTAACATGCCACCCCAAAATATCTTTAAACTAATTTCCGGTGTCAAGGAGTGACGACCCCAACCCCTGCTGAATCTCGCTCATTCGGCAGCCCCTCATCTGACTGATCGAACTACAAACATGGCTGACAGAAAAACCAGGGGCACAAAACCCCCTTAGTTAAGATTTTCCTTAAAGTCCATGTTAAGGCTTTCTTAAAATGAAATCAGTCTTTTCCTTCAGGTTTCCTTAAAATATTCACTGAAATATTTATGGTTTTCTCCTTATCCTGGTCTCATACTTAAAGAATCCCTTAAGGTTAATTACACCATTGCACAGAAGGCTTTAGGTGTCACAATGTAGTATTTACCACAGTAAAATCTTTCAATGCCGGAAATACCTTAACATTTTTACTTAACTAAGGAAACCTTCCAAGGGATTCTGTGCAACACCCCTACTTAAGGAGAAAACCTAATGTGTTTTGTGTAAGTAGCTCCTGATCATGTAACAGAGTTTCAGTCAGACGATGACATTTCACCGTCAAACTAAAGATGACACCTTCAGATATGTTTGAGGAAAAACTTCACCTCTTCCTGTACGACATACAACGAGCAGAGCACGTGACGAGACAGACACACACTGACAGCACGTGAAGAGACTTACAGAAAACAGACAGACAGATGGACAGAGAGATGGTCTACCTGGACTTGGATCACCGGTTGGTGCTGGTGCTGATGCTGTGGAGCTCAGGTAGGCCTCTGCTTTAAAGAGGATGTGTTAAATATTTGTAACAGAGAAACAACTGCTCACATGCCAGGTGTTTATTCTCTACCTCCAGTCAGTTATTGATCTGTTATTAACATCTGATCAGTTAATGTATACTCAGTGATCATCTCAGATGGATTAATAAGTAGGTGTGCTTCACTGAAACCGTGGGCATGACTCAAAGCAAACAGATTCACACCTTCAAATCCATTTCTTTTATTTTCGGACTTTATTTTTTATTGTTTTGATAAGAACAGAACAGACAAAACAAGGGACAACAGATTTTTGACATAGTGTAAAACAAAACAAATAAAAAGAAGCAGGAAAACAGTATCAGGGACTGTGGGTCCATTATGTCCATGATTGTCCTTTAATATCATAAAGGTCCTTATAATCCATGACCCTGATTTATGGAAAGGACGGAGGAGTCACGCTCTCATTCAGAAGCTAATGTCCAGAGGCTTTATTCACCTATGAATTCACACAATTAGTCATTTTCAGCCAGTGCTCCTCTCTCACATTAATTAAATCAACAGTGTTACGTTTTACCGTGGTATTTATTTTAATATTCTTTAAAGGCAGAAGGAGGAGGATCGATTAATTTGAAGAGTCAAATGAGATTCACATAAAGCCTGAATCATCACGATGTGGTTCCTGTTATCTGTGACTGAGGCTGCGGGGTTTGTGGTTCAGCTCGGACTCCAGTGAAGTGGATTGTGAATCAGTCTCTGTTCTTACTTCAGCCAAAATCTGTGTTTGTTTCCTGCACAGTGCTAGTATGGTGCAGTAGTACAGTAGTACTACAGTACGACCAGCACTTATAAAACACGATCAGTCCATGATAAGAGTGCCTGATAATGTGGAAGTGATTTTGAAAAAAGTGTCAGCGTGGGTTTCCTCCAGGTGCTCCGACATGTTCTCCCTGTGTCAGCGTGGGTTTCCTCCAGGTGCTCCGACATGTTCTCCCTGTGTCAGCGTGGGTTTCCTCCAGGTGCTCGGACATGTTCTCCCTGTGTCAGCGTGGGTTTCCTCCAGGTGCTCTGACATGTTCTCCCTGTGTCCGCGTGGGTTTCCTCCAGGTGCTCTGACATGTTCTCCCTGTGTCAGCGTGGGTTTCCTCCAGGTGCTCTGACATGTTCTCCCTGTGTCAGCGTGGGTTTCCTCCAGGTGCTCTGACATGTTCTCCCTGTGTCAGCGTGGGTTTCCTCCAGGTGCTCTGACATGTTCTCCCTGTGTCAGCGTGGGTTTCCTCCAGGTGCTCCGACATGTTCTCCCTGTGTCAGCGTGGGTTTCCTCTAGGTGCTCTGACATGTTCTCCCTGTGTCAGCGTGGGTTTCCTCCAGGTGCTCCGACATGTTCTCCCTGTGTCAGCGTGGGTTTCCTCCAGGTGCTCTGACATGTTCTCCCTGTGTCAGCGTGGGTTTCCTCCAGGTGCTCCAGCTTCCTCTCACAGTCCAAAGACATGCAGGTTAATTGGTGACTCTAAATTGTCCGCAGGTGTGAATGGTTGTCTGTCTCTAGTCTGGTGACCTGTCCAGGGTGAACCCTGCCTCTTGCCCAGTTGAAAAAATAAAACAAGATGAGAAGTTTGCTATGTCACAAAGATGGCAGCCATTGAAGGTGAGAAGTGTCCATCATTCCACACTCAACTTTTGTTTTGGAGTGCGTCAGTAGTGCACTGCATTTTCTTGTACTAATGAGTGTGAACAAACTTAGAAGTACAAGATCTGAGACACACAGTTTGTGTCATCGTCCCCACCCCAGGTAGGTCAGGTGACCTCTCTGTGGGGACTTCTAATACTCTGTAAACTATATTTCTGTGACACTGAACATTTACTGACAGATTGCAGGTAATGATTACAAGACTGTGGTTTCTGTTTCTATGACAACCTTGGCAGGCTGACATGTTCCTGTCAGATTAACGCTGTCACACTCGTCTTATTATATCTGTGGATGTGTTAACATCAGCAGAGGGTCGAATTACAGCTGGAAATAACCGTCATATTAACTGTTGGTAAATCTGTTGATGATGTTTTTTATCTCAGTCACTGAGTGTGTATAAAACATCAGACTCCAGGCTGAGGGTTCAGTATCTTGTCTGTTCCTTCGTCTGCTCTCTCCTGGACAGAGAACTCAGATGCTGGACCTGAATCTGCCAGAGCTACCCTCCCAGTTTGGGGGTCACAGCCCCCAGTGCTCCCAGTGCTCCCATGACCACCTTTACTCCCTACATCAGCTCCTCTTTCAGCTCTTTGTATTTCTCCTTCTTCCTGATGTTGCTGTCATCGATCACCACTTCCTTCTTCTGTTGTTTGTCCATCAACACGATGTCCGCTTGGTTTGCCATCACCAGTTTCTCCCATAGGATCTCAGCTCGCTCATTCTTCCAGAGACTTCCAGCCCATACTCAGTGCACATGTTCCTGGACACGGTGTCAGACACATGGTTATGCATTCCAGACCCTGGTCTGAGCTGACTGATGCCACGCTATGATTGGTCAGTCTGCATCTGAGGGGCAGGGGCGCCTAAAATGTTGTTCTGGTGCCAAACTGGGACAATCAGCTGTTGGAAAACCCATGACCCTCCCTGCACCATAAACAAGTTGTTAGATTTTTGATGTTTGAAAGTTAAAAGTTTTCACTCTTGTCGTACAAACAATTTATTCATACGTCAAGTTTGCAGCACATGACGTGTCCAAGGAACATCCAACAATAATTTCTATTTTTACAGTTTCTGGCTGATAAATGTCGTCATTTTACCTGAAGGTCCGTCACCACACAGTGTGACAGCTACAGGATCTTGGACAACAGAAATATGGGACACTGGATTTGATTAATTCACTGACCACAAATGAGACAAGAATTAACGAGTTAGTGCACCCTGAGGTTCCTCTGCCTCACTCTCCTCCATTAGGAGATGACTTCAGTGGGAGGAGAACTCCGTACCTTCAGCTCACGGCTGCAGCAGCTTCAGTTCAGCGTTCACATTTACTGCTGCTTCTGTTAGATGACCTGCAGCTTGTGGTTGAAGTTACTGATGAGGGAATGAGGAGCAGGGGGAGTCTCCTTCTGTGATGTTTCACTTTGAATAAACTAAATTGAAAAAGCATTTCCTAAAATGTAGAAATGCTCCTTTAACTATGAACAAACTGACCTGTGTTCTGTGTATTCATGTGTTCATCTAACCAACAGTAAACTGATGAAATGGTGACTGAGGTTCTGATATTTGTCTCTTGGTTTCCTCTGCAGGACTCCAGGCTGAAGGAGGACAAAACTCCACAGGTACACAGAGACAACAGAGAAGTAAAGACTTGTCTGAATCATCAAGCTCTTTGACTGATGACTCTCTGGTTTCTGTTCAGAGTCTGATGATGTCAGGTTGGTGGGAGGAGTCAGTCACTGTGCAGGAACACTGGAGCTGAATCAGCGAGGACTCTGGAGACCAGTGGAGGGATCATACTGGACCCTGAAGGCAGCAGCCGTCGTCTGCAGACAGCTGGACTGCGGCTCAGCTATGTCTACCAGAGGGAGACGTCAGCTGTCCCGCAGGTCTGTGTGGAGGATCAGGCCCAGCTGTGTTCAGTCTGGATCTGCTCTGAGGGAATGTGCAAAACCAGATTACGCTTCCATCATCCTGGATCTCACCTGTTCAGGTAAGCCCATCAGTGACATTATCAATGACAGTAAAGGCTCAGATATGCTCTCTTCATTGGACGTCGGTGTGGCTCTGTTTATAGTACACCTGACGGTCTGTGTCGGCCCCCAACAGTAAAGAGATGGAGGTGAGCTCACCGTCCTGCTGCTGCTGCCAACATTGGGTGAAATTGAAATTTAGAAGCTGATAGAGAGAGATGATGCGCCGTCTCATGGTGGTCACTTCCTGTCGACGTTACAGATCAGAAGCACAGAGAGTCGTTGACTAGAGATGATACGCCGTCTCATGGCGGTCACTTCCTGTCAGCGTTACAGATCAGAAGCACAGAGAGTCGTTGACTAGAGATGATACGCCGTCTCATGGCGGTCACTTCCTGTCAGCGTTACAGATCAGAAGCACAGAGAGTCGTTGACTAGAGATGATACGCCGTCTCATGGCGGTCACTTCCTGTCAACGTTACAGAAAGGAGCGTTGACAGTAGGTGTTTGTTTGGTCTGAACTGGACTTTAAAATGTATTAAATGTAGATGTCAAACAGCTGCAGTCTGTGGAGTTATAAGTCCAGTCCAGAATCCAGTTTGAATCACTGATGAGATCTGTTTTATTTTGTGTCTCTATTTTATCTTCTATTATCTCTCCAGACTCTGTCAGGCTGGTGGATGGGACCAGTCTGTGCTCAGGCAGACTGGAGGTGAAGTCTAACCAGAGGTGGTCCTCAGTGTGTGAAGCTGACTTTGACCAGCAGGATGCAGAGGTGGTCTGTAGGGAGCTTGGCTGTGGGGCTCCTTCAGTCCTCCAGGGGGCGCTCTATGGAGAAGTGGAGGCTCCAATGTGGACCAAAGAGTTCCAGTGTGGAGGCCATGAGTCTGCTCTCCTGGACTGTAGAAGCTCAGGCTCAGATAGAAACACCTGCTCACCTGGCAAAGCTGTTGGACTCACCTGCTCAGGTAGAAGAGGAGCTGCAGCTCTGATTGGTTCATTTCACTTTATTGCTTTACTGACGACTCTCTGGTTTCTGTTCAGAGGCTGTCAGGTTGACAGGAGGACAAGGTCGCTGTGCAGGAACACTGGAGGTCAAAGATCAGAGAGACTGGAGGCCGGTGAGTATCGTCCCCTATCCGTGGACCCTGAAGGACACAGCTGTGATCTGTGGACAGTTGGATTGTGGCTCCACTGTGACTGTCGACTGGATGAAGGCTTCCTTGGGCAGGTCTGTGTGGAAGATCAGGCCTGAGTGTGTCCAGTCTGGATCTGCTCTGAGGGAGTGTTTAACATTAGATTACTCCAGCCATGTCATGGATATCACCTGCTCAGGTAAGCCCATCAGTGACATCATCTATGACAGTCATGTTTCTAGTTTTCTCCTTCCTCTGTCACAGGGACCCTCAATGACATCCTGAAGTGTAGAGAAGTTGGTTTGTTTCTGGAAGCCCTCTGTCTGTCTGTCTGTCTGTCTGTCTGTCTGTCTGTCTGTCTGTTCAATGTGCAGCATCTGGCAGTGTCAGAGGGAAACGCAGTGGGAAAACAATGAAAGTTAAGGTGGCGGAAGTTCGAGTAGGGCCGTAGGGAGGGGTGGTGGATGGGTCCAACAAACACCGACTTCAAATCGAGAGATTGGTTGTGTTTGTTGTTGAAGGAAAAAAACATCAGTTGGTGGTGTTGTACCAACGTAGTGCTTTTATTTTGAAAGAGACTGTATGCAAACTGTACATTTCCTGTGAAAACAGAAGTGTATTTTGAAAACAGACAATGCATGTAACAGGCTGAAGTTGACACGGCGTCCCAGAACGTCAACAACCAACACACCCAGGGTACCTTGGACGTCATATGTGGAC